CAGCTTCCTGCTAATGCACCAAGGAAAGAAGTAGATGATGCTCAAGTAATTGGATGCCTGCCACCCATGAGGGAGAGCCAGGCAGAGTTTCTGGCTTGTGGCTTTGCCCTGGCCCGTTGTGACCATTTGGGGAGTAAACCAACAGATGGAAGATCTCTCCACCCGCTGCCTCCTCTCTTTCTGTCTCTGTCATTGTGTTTCAAGCTCCATCATTGTCTTCCTTGTGGGTGACAAGGGCTCAGGCACTTAGCCCATCCTCCTCTGCTGTCCCAGGTACATTAGCAGGAAGCTAGTTCATATTCGTTTATTTGAAAGGCAAAGAGACCCCTGCCATAAGTAACTAGGTTGCTTTGTACCTAGGAAAGTGTTACACTGCTGGGAGAAAAGCAATCAATAGCTGGAAGGCATTATAGACCTGGTTAATGCCAAATTTTGTTAACTATACCAGTATGCTGGTGTAGTTGCTTATTTTTTTTAAAATGCAAGTAGGGAAGGCTGGGGAAATAGGGCTGGGACATGCCACCCTGGGGGAGTGAGGGGACACAGATTCCCCAGGAAAGGGGTCTGGGGACATATTGGAGTGGGAGCAGCTGATGGCATGTTTGACAGGGGAGGATTAGCTTTTCAGGCTTCCACTGATCAGACACTGTACTCACAGAAGAGGGAACTGAGACAGTGGTTTAGAGACTGGAAACCGGAGAGCATGTTTAAGTCAATCCAATGCACCTGCCCATGTGGGACCCAGGTTGGGCTAAATAGCATTGCCCATCACCTGCTGGTGCATGCAAAAGCTGGGGCTGGGAATGTGATTGAGTGGGCTAAGCTGCAGCACCTGCCAATGAATGTCAGAAAAGGGGGTAAGCCACATCAGGCTAGGACACATCAGAGCTGGGGGTGGTGATGGGCTGAGCCAGGCTGAACCATAGAACAGCTGCAGAAGCTGGGACTGGAAGGAGACCAGCCTGAGCCAAACTACAACACCCACTGGCCCACTCAAAGGCCAGAATTGAGAGCAGACCATGCCAAGCAGTGTCATGCCAGCCACTGGCCCACATGAGATCTGGGGCTGGGAGTAGACCAGGTAAGGAATTTGGGGAACTCAGCTGTTAGACGACAGCTCCCACTGATGAGCACAAGAGCTGGGGCTTGACAAGGTACTGGCACCTGTCGACATATGTGACAGCCAGGACTGCGGGCAGGTTGGGCTGAGCTAAACCACAGCAACCATGGGTATGCCCAAGAGCCAGGTGGGATGAAGGCTAGGCTGGACTAGATCACAGCAAAGGCTGGCATGCACCAAAACGGGCTGGGTGCAGGCCTGTTGAGGGTCATTGCAGGTTGCCCCAACTAGGCAACAGTACCCATTGGTGTACATGATCACTGGGTCCATGGCAGGTTGGGCTGGGTCGCATGAGATATGGGGCCAGAATGGAACTAACCACACAGCTACATCCACTGGTGTATGAATTAGCTGTTGCAGGGGACAGACTGAACTTGACCCTGCCCTGACTGGTGTACACAGAGTGAAGTCTGAGGTCACCCCAGGTGAGGTTTCTTGGGGGATTCCCTGACCAGACTGCTGGACTCAGATCCTGGCAACAGGGAAGATCACAGGATGCGTGGTCTGACCTTGGAGTGCATATGTCAGGACTGGGCCTGCTCAGTTGCTAATAACTATGCAGTAGACAGCATGCCCAGACGCACACGGGGAACATGATGACCAGCTCATCTGGGCCACTGGGGACATCAACTGCCTCATCAGAGACTGGAAAGCAGAAGCAGCTGGACAGTTCTCCTGGCTAAGCTTTGCAGTATATTCCTGGGCCTGTGGATGCATTAGTGTGGATTTTGTCTACAAATAGACCTTGGAAAGATTTTTTCAACCTTGGAGCAACAAAACCAACAACTTTAATATTATCAGAACTATCAAAACCACCCTGGTAACACCCTCGGGACACTCTTCCCCACATTGAGGTCTTGAAGGCATTATCAAATGATTATCCCCCAAGCAAGGAGTGGTCCCCTCACCCTTTTCCCTGAGGACACAGGAGAAGGAAAAAAAAAAAAAGAAAAAAAGAAACTAAAACATTTGTCCCACCCACCTTTCTCCATACCTGATCCTCCCCACCCTAATCAGAGGCCCACGTGGGTATGCATCCCTCTCAAGTATGTAAACAATATTAAAAAGAAAATTGAAGATTAAAATAAAAGAAAGCCAATGAGGGAGAAAAAAGAGAGAGAGCCAAGTCAGATGTTTCACCTCTTGGTTCACCTTGCTAAATGTCTGACGCTGTTGGGGCTAGGTCAGGCCAAAGCCAGGAGCCCAGAACTCTACTCAGATCTACATGATGATGAGAACCCAGATACCTGGGCCACAGTCTGCTGCCTCCCAGGCACATTAGCAAAAAGCTATATGGGAGGGTAGGTGGAACTCAAGTATAGGCACTCTGAGTACGGGTGTCCCAAATAGTGGCCTAATCTTCTATGCTGTAACACCCATCCCCTAATTCTAACATCCTGAACTGTTGTCTCTCCCTTCCCCAGGACCTAAGGGCTGCCTATTGCCATGTGCTATCCAAGCCTCATGCAGGCTCCAAACTCCCTCTTCCTGCCTCTTCTGTATTCAACCATCAGTGCACTGATCCCAGCCTGTTGTTAGGAAAAAATAATGGCAAAAAAAAATGGAAATATAAGAATATAAAATGTAAAAATATAAAAATAATGAAAAATTTAAAATAATGGAAAAAATAAAAAGAGAAAGGCTTATTTTTATTGGAAAGGCAGGTTTATGGAGAGTTGGAGAGACAGAAAAATCTTCCATCCACTGGTTCACTCCCCAAAAGGCTGCATCACCTGGAGCTTGCTGATCTACAGCCAGAAGCTAGGAGCTTCTGGGTCTCCTACATGGATGCAGAATCCCAATTAGAGCAGCTGGGACACAAACTGGTGCCCAGAAGGGATGCTGGCCCTTAGAGTCTGTTGAGCCATTGCATCAGCCCCAAAACATTTTTTTTTAATTAAAGAATGTTAAAATTTGATAAAATGTCAGAAAAGAGTACTGGTAGTTTTAAAAAGCAAATATTGCCAGCCTTCTATTTGCTGATTCACTCCTGAGTATCTGCAACAGCTGCAGCTGAGCTGATCTGAAGCCAGGAGTCTCTTCCAGGTATCCCACGTGGGTGTATGGTTCCAAGGCTTTGTGCTGTCCTCAACTGCTTTCCCAGGCTACAAGCAGGAAGGTGGATGGGATACGGGGTTGCAGGGACTAGAACTGGCACCCACTGGTCTCAGTTATTTTCAGAAGACACAATCATCCTATGTAAGCCTGTATCCTATGTAAGCCTCTCAATCATTTTTGCTTATTGTTGCATGACTAGTTAAGATTTTAAATGTTAGCAGTTTTGCAAAGCACCGGGTCCTGATTCCTGCCAATGTGATGATGAGCGATAAGAATGTTTTTCCTTAGATGTAGCATTGACATTGCATTAAAACAGGACATCTGTCAGGACATGTCATCCTCATGGATGAGCTTGTGAAACACTTAGGGCATCAATTGGCTTTTGTCCTAGGAATCTGAAACAGGGGAAGTGGCACAGAGCACTGAGATGAGTCAGTGGTCCTGGATGCCAGTTCCAGTGTAGCCATGAACTTACCGTGGTTGAGGCTGATTCCTCAACTGTAAAATGAGGGAACTGAGCTCCCCTTAACATCACGGGGAGCTACCCACTTAAGAGTCACCCTCCCCTGGGAGTTTCCACGCCATAGGAAGAGGAAGAACAAGTTTCTGTCTGGTGAGAGATGGTCTCCTCAATCCCCCTTGAGTCACACAGATTACATCAAAATGGAGAAATGAGTATTTGTTCCCTGCCTCTGATGTGTGAGGTTGTTGGCTGGCAGTGGTTACTATGCTTAGGTTTTCAACTGGCTCAGTTACCTCTACTAAAAATAAGCCACTGGTGCTAGGGCTGAGTCATTGTCACACATGAATATGTGGAGGGAAAAAGTGACAAAGGTCACCACAACTCTTCAGATTATTTCCCTGCTAACCAGACACCACCCCTTGTTCTCCAGCCAGCCCCTCTTTTTCCTGGATTTTAGATAAACCGTGTACCTTAAATAGAAAACATATTCAACTGCCAGTTATTGTCTCAGTTTGTTCATACCCTGCTCTCTGCTTGTGTATTGGTCTTATCCCTGGACCCGGGCTTTTATACTTTTCTGAGGAATCAGAGGCCAATATTAATATTTGCAACTTCACTTTATGATTAGCAAAGTGATTCCAAAGGCCTGACTCCTTTGAATAGTTGACCATCCCCCTGGTGATGTGGCCACCTGAGAACAGATTCCTTATGTTTCCTTGAGGTGGTAACTTCTGAGTAGGACAATCCTGGGAAAAACTGGGAAGTCGTTTTGTCTAGGAGTCTTCCTATCTCGCTTCTGGAGGTTCTGCTCTGCCTCCTGGAATGTCTGTCCACCCCCTCCTTTCAGAGCCAGTGCTCTCATTCTAAGTTCTTTAAGCCTCTCTCTCTCTTGGCCTCTATTTTTTTTTTTTTACCTGTAAAGTAGGAAGAAAAATGGAAGAGGAAATCACTAATGTTCTATTTTTTTTTAAGATTTATTTTACTTTTATTGGAAAGGTGGATATACAGAGATGAGGAGAGACAGAGAGGAAGATCTTCTGTCCGATGGTTCATTCCCCAAACGGCCACAATGGCTGGAGCTGAGCCAATCTGAAGCCAGGAGCCAGGAGCCTCTTCCAGGTCTCCTATGTGGGTGCAGGATCCCAAAGCTCTGGACCGTCTTCGACTGCTTTCCCAGGCCACAAGCAGGGAGCTGGATAGGAAGCAGGGCAACCAGGGTTAGAACCGGTGCCCATATGAGATCCTTGTATGTTCAAGGTGAGGACTTTAATTACTACACTATCATGCCAGGCCCTAAAGTTCTATTTTTCTTTTGAAAGAGGGTAGGCGTAGCAAGCTACATCCCATATAAGCACCGGTTCAAATACTGGCTGCTTCACAAATTAGCGTGTCATCCTTGCACAGGGGCCATACTAATCTTCTCTGTGCCATTCCAATTTTAGTATATGTGTTGCCAAAGCGAGCATGGCTGCTTCACTTCTTGTCCGGCTCCTTCCTTCTACTTTGGAAAAGTAGAGGAACATAGTTCAAGTCCTTGGGCCTTTGAGATCCTGCACCCACATGGGAGACCCGAAAGAAGTTCCTGGCTCCTGGCTTCAGATTGGCTTAGCTCTGGCTGTTGTGGTCATCTGGGAAGCAAACAAGTGGATAAAAGATCTATTTCTGTTTCTCTCTGTAACTCTGACTTTCAGGTTAAATAAATAAATAAATCTTAAAATTAGAGAAGAGAGAGGGAAGGAGCGAGAGCTGTTTCCCATTCATGATCTACTCCACAAATATAATAAAGCTGGGAGCTAAAAATGGGAATGAGAACGCAATCCAGTCTCTTACATGGTGGGAAAGACCCCACCACTTGGGCCAATACCTGCTACCTTCTTGGGTCCACATTAGCAGGAGATTGCCATCAAGAGCTGGAATCCAGTATTGAACCCAAGTACTTCTTCTTGCAAATATTTATTTAAAAGACAAGTTACAGAGACAAAGACAAAGATCTTCCATCCACTGGGTCACTCTCCAAGTAACTACAATAGCTGTGGCTGGGCCAGGCTGAGGCCAAGAACCCAGAAGCTTCATCCAGGTCTTCCAAGTGGCAGCAGGGAGCAGATGCACCTCAAGCCAAAGGTGTCCAACATGAATTCATTATCATACATTATAAAATCATCTTCTTTCCTGAAGGCGCTCTTTTTTTCCCCCCAAGATTTACTTATTTATATGAGACCAGTGCTGTGGTATAGCTGGTTAAGCCATTGATTGTGCTGCCTGCACCCCACAGAAGCAGCAGTTTGAATCCTGTTTGCTTTATTGCTGATCCAGTGCTCAGTTAATACATCTGGGAAAGCAATGGAAGATGGCCCAAGTGTTTGGGTCCCTGCCTACACATGGGAGACCCAGGAGAAGCTGTGGACTCCTGGCTTTGGCCTGGCCCAGCCCTGGACATTGCAGCCATTTGGTGAGTTAAACAATGAATGGAAGATACCTCCTTTTTCTGTGTTACTCTGCCTTCCCAATAGGCAGGTTTACAAATTTACAGAGAGGAGGAGAGACAGAGAAAAACATCTTCTGTTCATTGGTTCATTCCCCAAGTGGCTTCAATGTCCAGAACTGAATCAATCCAAAGCCAGGAGCCAGGAGCTTCTTCAGGGTCTCCCACAAGGGTACAGGGTTCCAAGGCTTTGGACCATCCTCCACTGCTTTCCCAGGCCACCAGCAGTGTGCTAGATGGGACATGAGCTGGTGCCAATATGGGATCCCAACCATATATGTCAAGGACTCAGCCACTAAGCTATTGTGCCAGGCCCACAAAACAAATCTTTAAAATTATTTATTTATTTATTTATTTGAGAGAGAGAGAGAGGTTGATTGATTGAGACAGACCTGTTGATTCCCTTCTCCAGATGATGGCAATAGCCAGGGCTGGGCCAGACTAAATCCAAGAGACAGGAGCTCTGGTCCTCCTTTGGGTCTCCCTTGTGGGTGTAGGGGTTCAAGTTTTGGGCCATCATCCACTGCTTTCCCAGGAAATTAGCAGGGATCTGTATCAGAAATGGAGCAGCCAGTGTAGTAGAACAGTGCCCATATGTGATGCTAGTGTTGCAGGTGGTGGCTTTACCCACTACACCACAATGCCAGCCCCCTGAAATAGATATCTTGAAGGGTAGTAGCACCATTCATTCATTTACTCAGACCAGAAGTCTGAATCCCTTTTTATCATCCTCTATAAATAACAAGTTCTGTCTATTGGATCTTTTAAATATTTCTTGGATCCATACTGTTGCCATTGCTTTAGCACGAGGGATAGGGAGGCACTTAGGGAGAGTGGATACAGATGGTATGCAGAACGATCTAACTAAATAGTGCAAGCAAACGCACCTAGGTTTTAGCTTAGCAAACCAAAATTTTTGACCCCTCAGCATTTCCAAAATAGAAAGAAAACACCTCTGCTTACTAAGATTTAACCAGGATCAGGTGTTTGACATGGCTACCACACTACAATGAAATATCTGGGACCAAGTTCCAGCTCTGTTCTCTATTCCAGTTCCCTGCTAATGTGCATCCTGGGACAAAGCAGATGATGACTGAAATTCCTGGGCCCCTGTTACCCACACCCCCAGGGGAGCAGCATGAAGTCTCTGGCTGTCACAGGCATTTGGAGGTGAATCAGCAAGTGGAAGACCTCTCCCCATTTATTTCTGTCTCTGCATTTCTAAATAAATAAATATATTAAAATGTAAAATTCAGCCATGAGTTTAAAGTAGAAGAGCATAGTGGAAAGGCCTTACTTTTCAAACTGGAAGAAGAGAAGAGTGGAGGCAAGGAGAACTGGGACAAAGAGAATCAAACCATCATCTATGTGTCACTGTTCTGGCATGTCTGGGCTTTGTCCTAGAGTAGGCTTCATGTTAGACAAGTGAAAATTGGAGGGGGTTTACTATGAGGAAGGCAGAAAGCTCGGAGGTTATTTCCATGATGATTCAGGTAAGCAGACAAAATAAGACTTGTTTTGCCTAAATCTATTCTGTCCTACTTTCTGAGCCCTCACTCACTAAACAGACCTCCTTCAAAGGAAAATTTGGTTGAAACGGATTATTGGAACAGTTCCTTCAGGCTATGTGCAGTCCTGTGGGTAATAAGACTGGGTCTCTGGGCTAACTGCTCTCCCTCCCTCTCCTCCCCGTGACAGTGCTTGGTGTGTTGGGTGGGAGAGCTTGTGCCACTTGGCTGAGGTAGATACAGATGCATGAAGTCTTTGGATCCAGGCAGGGACCTTTGCTCTCTGATTTCTGGTCTCTAAACTTTTTGCAAAAAACTTCCTCTTAGCAAAATGCTCCCAGGAAACTTTCATTTTAACACCCTTCACACAAAGTTCTTCCTCTTCCAAAAAAAAAAAAAAGAATCTGGGCCCCATGTGGCAGCCTAGTGGTTAAAGTCCTCATCTTGCATGTGCCAGGATCTCATATGGGTGCCGGTTCTAATCCCAGCAGCCCAGCTTCCCATCCAGCTCCCTGCTTGTGGCCTAAAAAAGCAGCTGAGGATAGCCCAAAGCCTTGAGATCCTGCACCCGTGAGAGAGACCTGGAACAGGCTCCGGGCTCCTGGCTTCCTATTGGCGCAGCTCCGATTGCTGTGGCCGCTTGGGGAGTAAATCAGTGGATGGAAGATCTTCCTCTCTGTCTCTCCTCTCTGTATATCTGAAAACATCTTTTAAAAATATATTGTATATATAAATATATATATTTAAAATTTTATTTATTTATTTTTATTAGAAAAGGAGAGGCAAAAAAAGTTCTTCCATCTGCTGGTTCCCTCCCCAGATTGCTGCAGCAGCTGGAGCTGAACCAATCTGAAGCCAGCAGCTGGGAGCTCCCTTTGACTCTCTCCAACATGGGTGCCCCTGGGTTTTGAGCCCTCCTTCAGTGTCTTCTAGGCAACAAGCATGAAGCTGGATGGGAATTAGGGCATCTGGGACACAAACCAGCACCCATATGGGATCCTGGCTCTTACAGGGTGGGGTGGGATTAGCCAGTCAAGCCACTGTACAGGGCCCCAGGGTTCTTCCTCTTGACATCATCACACTCCTTGCATACTTATTATGTTCCACTTTCACATTGTATATGATTTTGTGCTGTCCTTACTAGGCTGCTCATCTTGTGGCTAGTACTGTGCCTGATTCACAGTGACCCTGGGTCCAACACCATTACCTTGGGGTTGGCACAGGACCCAGCACTCACTAGGCAACAAATGTTGGCTGAATTATACTGAAAATGAGAGAAAGATTTTATCCATTGATTCACTCCCCAAATGCTCACTACAACCAGGGCTGGCCCAGGCTAACGCCAGAACTGGGATCGCAATCCAGGTCTCACATGTGGGTGGCAAGATTCCTTGAACTACCATCATTGTCTCTCAGGGTCTATGCTTGCAAAAAACTGGTGTCAGGAGCTGGTATACTCTTAGAATGCAGAGACTTCACCATTAAGCTAAAAGTCCAGCCTATGCTGAATTCTTATCAATACATGTGTTTTAGGAGTGATATTTTGGGTCATTGAGACGTTCCTTCAAAATCACTTATTAAAAAATCACATATAAAAATGAATTGGCATTTAGAAAACTTAAATAATTTTTCCTCAACCCCATTCGTTTTCAAATATGACTGTTAACAAATGTGTCAACATTAGTTTCTTAACTAGAATAAATTTGTAATGAAATCTATTTAAAGATTCCTTTGGAAATTGGTTCTGGGTTTGAGTGGTGTTTCCTAAAATTATAATCTACACGTTTGTCATATTTTTACTTAAGAGACTTAAGTGTCCCTTGCATTTGACTTCTGTTCCACAAGCATGATAGAGACTTCCTGCACTAGCTAATGAGATGACTAATTGTTAACCATGTAAAATGTGGGATTATCCAGGTGATTTTCACTTCCTTCTCTGTGTTTAGCAGATGTTTCTATACTAAATATGCATGTCTTCTATAATTGAGAGAGAGAGAGAGAGAACCCTAACCAATTCACTGTATTAAGAGCATGTCTTCTGGGGGGTTGGTGTGCTTCCATATGGACACCAGTTCAAGTTCCAGCTGCTCCATTTCTGATCCAGTTCCCTGCTTATGGACTGGGAAAGCAGTGGAGAACAATTCAGGTCCTTGGGACATTGTACCCATGCGGCAGATCCAGAGGAAGCTCCTGGCCTTGTATCACCTCAACTCTAGTTGTTGTGGCTGTTTGGGGGAGTTAACCAGTGAATGGAAGCTCTCTCTCTGAAACTCTGCCTTGCAAATAAAAATAAAATAAATATTTTAAAAGCAGCATGCCTTTTTATTCCCAGAGTGAATTCCAGCTAAGTGTGGAACAATCACATTTAAAGTCCTCAGTGATGAGACTCACCTCCTCCTCAACGCAAGTCGGAAAGGAGTGTAGAGAAAATAGACTTGAGTGCTCTTGGACCAATATATCTTGCACTCTTTTTTTT